CCATAACGCCTGGCTGTTTTTTGTTGTTGTTGCAGTTTGGCCAGGGCTGGGTTCAAAACCGCCACTCTTGGTATATGGGGCGAGCCACAGGTGCCACCCAGGAAATAGTTCTTATACTCTTGATTATCTTGGTCAAGACATCTATGCACACCATGCCTACCTGCTATGCAATGATAATTTGGATTCAGCAGTGTTTGGTGCAGTATATTATTCTATAACACAGACTTTTGAATTCCAAAGATTGTTAACTGGCTTATTTAATAAGTCCATTTGCTGGTTGGCCAGAAGAACGGTACCTCTGATGATAGGCATTTCAGAGGCAGCCTCAGTTCCTAAAGCAGTTGACTACAGGATCTGCCTTGGCCTGGGTCAGTTGAGTTACTGAGGACCTCTTTGTAAGATGTTTGCAAATAAGTTTTTATACTGTACAGATAAACTATTAATATTTCCATTCTCAGCATTTTCAGATTTCCATTAAAAAATCCCAAAAGATATATCGTTTTTTTATATTCAAATTTATGGAAGTATAAAAATATAAAAGTCTCCAGGAGTCCTCATTAGGATTGCTGTGTTCCCTTTTAGTTTTTCTTTTAATCAAGAAATATAATTTTATATATGTATTAATATATATAGACCATTCTTTGATTTTTCTTCCACTTAAAATTTTATTTTGGGGGACTTTCCCTATGAGTATGCAGGGATGATTTATTCTCCCCCTCGGATAATTTATACTTTTTAATTGCTACAGTGTTTCCTTGTATGGATATAGTTTATTTAATCTCTTTTTGGGCATTTGAGTTATTTCTCAATTTTTCACTAATGCTGACAATGTTGCCAATGAACTTCCATATATCTTTGTATCCTTGTGGGTTTCTGTAGGATTAAGTTCCTAGTGGAATTATTGAGTCAAAATGGGTACCTCAGGCAGGGTTTAAGACAAATTTCTTAGCAGTTTATTTAATATTATCATAGAAAACATTCTTCTTTTATTGTTCTTCTCTCATGTTTTCAGTGTGTAGCCTCACATTATAAAATAGTATTGTGAGAAATGGAGGAAAAGCTTGAGGAAGGAGGGAACGTGGGCAATTGTATGGTACCCTAGACGTTTTCATGGCATATCAAGATATTTAAGCCATAATTTGAAGAATATAGATCTAGGCTAATTATTTACTGGGTTAGCCAAAGTAAGGAGAGGAAAATGGACAACTATTGCCTTCTATATCGCTCAGCTCCCATGTAGTCTTTGATGCTCTGATTGTAAAATACAGAAGATCTCTTTTTCTCTGTTAGATTTTCTGTTCTCCCAAATATATTTTACTCTCTGTCCTGAATATTCTTCCATGTTATAAATACCAAATGTCACTAATCTATGTAGGAGAGATAAGAGGTTCCAAGAGATGATTTTAAGGAGCGAGGACAAATCTGGAGCTATGTATACTTGTTAGAGAAGAAAGAAATCCTGGTGAAGATACCTGTGGGTGCCTTCTTGGATCGTCTAATGCTTATCATTTCCTGGTCTGTTTTCTCATCTATAAAATGGAAGTGTAGATGATTGCTATGGTCCCTTTCATTTCTTATATTTTGTGAATGGATGGTGATCAAGGAAAAGCTGTAATTCTGTTTAAAAGACACTCTGAGAAGCTAGAAGAGGTCCCTTAAGAAGTGAGAAAGACAGGTCCAGTGTTATCCTCTTAGAAGAGGGACCTCTTCATGAGAAGATGACTGATTAAACTGCCTATTTGCCTTATCTCAAACAGAAACATTGGTGATAGTCTGATAAGCATATTCTGCAGTACAAACCCGGTGAGTTAAATGCCTTTATTTTCTATGTCTCTAGAGTTCTCCTCAGCAGGGAGATGCCATGGGAGAGCTGGATTTACTGTCTTTCACAGCATTCCCCACATTAGTGCTAGTGTGTGTTTGTCCATCTCTGTCTCTCTCAGATTATCTCCTGCTGCATACTACGCCCAGAGGATGATCCAGTATCTCTCACGGAGAGACAGTATTCGCCAGCGCTCTATGCGCTACCAACAGAACCGTCTCCGTTCTTCCACCTCCTCCTCTTCCTCAGACAACCAGGGTCCATCAGTAGAGGGAACCGACTTGGAATTTGAGGACTTTGAGTAAGTACATACTCAGCTTGCTTTCTTCCCTCTCTTTCATTGCTTCTAGGTTGGCCATCATCCAAGCAACAATGGTGGCCACTCTTCCTTCCAAGCCCTAAATTATTATTTATGCATATGAGGATGGGGTGAGGGACAGAGGGTTAAAATGCCTTGAGCACTCCTACTTGTGTTAGTTGCATTGCTGATTCACCAGAACCTTTGGGCAGAGACAGCCCCTTGGGCCCCAGGCCATAGTCAGAGAGGATGGCTACTGGTCTTTGGGCAGCATTTATGTTTCCCTTTTACATGTACAGTGACTGTGCAAATGCTTCTCATGTATTGCTGTCTTCACATCAGGGAGGCTCTCATGTACTATCTTGACAAAATCAGGCGGAAGGGTTGGTATTTTTTTCCTCTTAAGCAGAATATAGATAGAGATGTTTTCTCTATTTTAAAATACTCAAGTGTCTCTAAAAGGTGGCTTTTCTGCCTTAGTCCTTTGATCAGACTAATTCTTTGAGGTCTTAATTCCTTGCCTAAATTTTCTAAGTCTCCCCACTCCTATATCCCACCTAGATGGGAGCCTGTGAGAGTTGCCTATCATATTAATGTGGTTAGTTGAGAGATTCCTAGCTTCTTTTGGTCTTTTTGAGTGTTTGGTGGTGGGGGATTAGGGTGACCTAACGGAGCAGGTCAGGCCCCAGGCTCAGGATTTAATCCGAGCCAGTCTTCCTGCTGGGTGTGCTTTTTTTCCACTGCTGCTCCTATGTTTCTTTCCATCTTGAAACTGAGCTTTCCTGGCTTGTATCAAATTGGACATTTGGCTCTTGTTTTGATTCCTGTATTTTGGTATGCTGAAACATGCAAACCAAGAGAAGAAAGCATTTTTCCCTCCTATTTTGCTGACATTATTGAAATAGGACAGCCTGTCAGTCCTATTTCAGCCTTTCTTCCCCCTGCCCGCCTTCCATCCCACCATAGTCTAGTCGGGTATGGAGTCTTAAGAGTTTTTGCTTCCCCCTACAACCTTCTTCCTCTTTCTTAACTGAATGGATAATTCCCTATGAGCCATCTTGCAGCAAACAGGGCTTTATGTCTGAGGAAGCTCTTTCCCAGAAAGGATTAAGATACTGGGAAAAACCTTTGTACCAATTTGCTTTCCTGATTCTATCATTAAACATATTAGCATTTGCGTTCTTGGAAGCAAAGGGAAAACCAAGTGGGAGGTTTATTTGTCTGAGAAAGATGTAAATGGAAAAGAAATGCAGGCATGGCCTGAAGTAGCTGCCAAGTGGCAAATGGAGCAGGGGTCATGGTCCCTGCTTGTCTACTCTGGGAGAAGAGCAAAGCTACTTTCTGACTCTCAGCACGCATTCTCTCCCTTCTGTCCACTCTAGGGCGAGGTGATGCATATAACAGCAGTGCAGGGAACAGAGTGTCTTCATTCACTTTGCCAGACAGACACTGTGGTGAAATATGTTCTGAAGATATTATGGCTTTTCCAGGACCACGGTCTATTCAGGGAAGCAGCTTAAACATACATGCTGAGGCTGCTGGCACTTAGTGCTGCTGAAAAGCCTGGATGGCTTTCTCTCAGTAATAATGCCTTGGAGCCCTGGAAGTCTGTGCTGTGGATTGCCTAGTCCTCTCTCCATGCATACTTGAGGTCTGTGTTACCTTTTTGCAGTAGTGAAATGTGGGGCTCATGCCTTTGAGCTGTATCTTGCCTCGTGACTTGTCCTTCACAAGAGAGTTCTGGGTTAGTTTAAAATGTTCTGTTCTTGTCTTACCTTCCCTTTCTTCTGCTACCACCTCCTCCTCTCCCCTTCCCTCCCCCTTGATTTTCCTGTGTCAGACTGCCTCCTCCTGTGCTCCCCCAGCCCACCTGTGCTTTCACCCCAGCCCCCCCCTGGCTTCAGCATGACCTGAATTTACATTGCTTTCTTCACCTTTTGTGTGCTGATTCCATTAGTTTTTTATTTTGTTGTTGTTATTATTCTAATTTTTTTTTTCCCTAGGAGATCTTATATTGTTCCTGGTTAGTAACAATAGGCTAATTTATTTCTCTAATGCCCCTCTGAAAGTCCCTGCTATAGGTTGCCTTCCTTTTGGGCAGCAACAGACCAGAATCTTGTTTTTAGTAGCAGCTATGGATCGGTCACTTCAGTGTAGTAGTCCAGGTCTTCTGGTGAAGGATGTTGCTGGCTGGTTATGCTGATTTGCTTATTGTTCATTCTTTCTCTTTCCCTGCCCTCCTCCTTCCACCGTACCTGGAGTACTGCTTATGATTACCCCTCTTAATCTCTGGGGAAAGAGAGTTAGGAATGTGGAATGTACCAGCCTGTTTTGACATTTCTATGCCCCAATCCTTAGCTTTAATAACTAGAACGGAAGTTAGAGGCTTGTATAGTAATAATTTATAGTTTTTTTTTCAAATATATAGAGCGTAGAGGTAGATAACGGCCTGAAATCCTCCCTAACAGGGTACCATTAAGAGAGATTTTTCTTTTATTAGGTTTCTTTCCCCTCACAGCACATTGTGCTCCTGCCTTACTACTTCTCTTTGGCCTCTTCCCTCTCCTTCTATTTGTTATACATCCAGGTGTATAGAGTACCCAGAAAACCAGGGAGTCATTACTCAGATCCCATCTTTTTTGGTTCCCCTCCACTTGACCAGATATGTCTAAGATTAGAGAACAGGAACATGCATATTTAGTGTCTGACTATTATTGTCCTGCAGATTTAAAAACCTTTAAAAATGATGCACAACCATTTTGAGCCCTCCCACAAGCTTGCTGCAGAAGAAGACCATCGAGATCTATCTCTGGGGAAGATAGTTGGCATCAGGTTAAATTTTCTGCTTTTCTGCGATCTGAATTAATGACCACCTTCCTAGGCAAGCATCTCCTGCCATACATCTCTGTCTGCAGGAAGATTGAGACTGCAGGATTCCTGTGTATATCAAAACGCATAAATAGGACATCCAGAAACCTGCTGTTAGCAGGTCTCTCCTAAAGACCTCAGCAGCTGTCTTTGCATAAAGATTTTCATAAGCAGGGTAAAGGTGTGGCTGCTAGTGACATTGCTGTCTGCTTGCTTTCAAGCCCATTCCACCTACTAGAGTGTAGATGGCAAATAAGCATAAGGAAAACTCTCATTTTCCTGTTTACCATCCCTTTGGAACGAGGGAGGGGACCTTTATAAAGCCCAGGTTAAGTGTTATGTCCTAGTGGTTGCTAACACCTGCAAAAGAAGTGATATGTGTTCCCTTATGACTTTGATTCCAGGTATCTTTGCCCCTTTTTTCTAGAATTGTCTGTTATTCTAAATGTAATTACAATTCCAGAATCATCCCTAGCTCATATTCTTACCCTTCCTGCCCCTTTCTGCAGCTGGTTTGTCTTGAAGCTTCAGATTAGATCAGCCACAAATATCTCCATCATGCATACCAGTCACTGAGTAATTATATTCAGCTTTAAAAAAAAGAGAGAGAGACAGGATCTCACTCTGTTGCCCGGGCTCGCGTACAGGGATGTCATCATAGCTCTCTGCAATCTCAAACTCCTGGGCTGAGGGGATCCTTTTGCCTCATCTTCCTGAGTAGCTGGGACTACAGGTGTGCCCCACCATGCCTGGCTAAGATTTTATTTTTTGTAGAGATGGGATTTCACTATGTTCCTGAGGCTGATCTTAAACTCCTGGTCTCAATTGATCCTCCCACCTCAGGCTCCAAAAGTGTTAAGGTTACAGGTGTGAGCCACCACGCCTGACCTATATTTAGCTTCTTAAAAATTGCTGCTAGCACAGAAGAGAGCAGTCTTTCATTTACAATTGTGATACTGGCCTATACTTTGGATTTCTGCTTGGGAAAATCATCTTAGCGAGAATTCTAGTCTTTCAGCCTTAAGATGAAATCTTTTTGGGTCTATTATGTTTATTTTCTTCACTCTTTTAATTTGTTTGATTGTATTGGGGTTCCCTTTACTCATAAATTAATATTGTGACCAAATTTAGGCATATCTCATTTTGGGGGGCTTTGCTTTATCAAACTTCACAAATACTGCATTTTTTTTTTCAAATTCAAGGTTTGTGGCAACCCCATGTTGAGCAGTTAGCATTATTTTTCTTTCTTTCTTTCTTTCTTTTTTTTTTTTT